GATTAATGAAACTAAGAGCTGGTTATTTGAGAAGATAAACAAAATTGACAAACTCTTAGCCAGACTCACTAAGAAAAAAAGAGAGAAGGCCCAAATAAATAAAATTAGAAATGAAAGAAGAGAAATTACAATGGATACTGCAGAAATATGAAGGATTATAAGAGAACACTATGAAACACTATATGCCAACAATTTGGATAACCTAGAAGACATGGATAAATTCTTAGACTCATATAACCTCCCAAAACTGAATCAAGAAACAGAGAATCTGAATAGACCAATGACAAGAGATTGAAACAGTAATCAAAAACCTCCCAAAAAACAAAAGTCCAGGCCCAGATGGCTTCTCTGGAGAATTCTACCAGGCATTCAAAGAAGATTTAGTACCTATCCGTCTCAAACTATTCCAAAAAATTGAAGAAGACGGAATGATTCCTTACTCATTCTATGAGGCCAACATTACCCCAATACCAAAATCAGGAAAGGACAACACAAAGAAGTAAAATTACAGGCCAACATCCCTGACGAATACAGATGCAAAAATCCTCAACAAAATATTGGCAAACCAAATACAGTAATACATCAAAAGGATCATACACCATGATCAAGTGGGATTTACACCAGGGATGGAGGAATGGTTCAACAACTGCAAATCAATCAATGTGATACACCACATTAACAAAATGAGACATAAAAATCACATGATCATCTCAATAGATGCACAGAAAGCATCTGACGAGATCCAACATCCATTCATGGCAAAAACTTTCAATAAAATGAGTATAGAAGGAAAGTACCTCAACATAATAAAGGCCATATATGACAAACCCACAACCACCATCATACTCAATGGTGAAAAACTAAAATCCACCCCTCTGAGAACAGGAAAAAGACAAGGGTGCCCACTCTCACCACTCCTATTCAACATAGTACTGGAGGTTTTGGCTAGAGCAATTAGGCAAGAAAAAGAAATAAAAGATAATCAAATTGGAAAGGAAGAAGTGAAACTCGCTAATTGCAGATGACATGATTCTACATATAGAAAACCCTAAAGAGGGGCCAGCCCAGTGGCGTAGCAGTTAAGTTCGTGCATTCTGCTTCGGTGGGCCAGGGTTCGCTGGTTCGGATCCTGGGCGCGGACCTACTCACCACTCATCAAGCCATGCTGAGGTGGCAGCCCACATAGAAGAGCTACAACTCTACAAGTATGATACACAACTATGTACTGGGGCTTTGGGGAGAAAAAA